TGAGCACGCATCAACATTATTGTTATAATGGCGACATATTATCAAATCTAAACACTGATCTTACATAAAGTAAATTCAACGCATTTCAGCTAAAATGATAATTTCACTGGTGGAATTCCTAGCCTTTTATTCAATGCTGTTGTTATATTAACACTTATCAAACCAAAATTTTCTCACCAAGAAAAGGTAAATAAAACATCAGAAACAACTGTGGTTCTCAATAGGTGAAAATGTACATTTTTCATCGTTTCAGTTGTGACGTCACAAAAGTTTATGAATAATTGATAACGCCAAACTGACATGTTGCCATAAATGAAATGATAGATACATGTATATGTCAGATATAACTTTAAGTAATTCACATAAAGTGCTCATAAATTATTAATATGATGTTTTAATATTGTTTCCTAAAAAAAGATTAAAACTATATCATTTTATTAACATTTAAAAAAATAATAATCGTGAAATAATGCTTTTTTCTAAAACTAAATTAAAAACTATAGAAATATAACATTTTTATAAACAACTAACATTAACCAATAGTTATTTTATTTAATTGCTTATATGTTCACTAAAAACACCATTAGAAAATAGAAACTAACCTGTTACTTCTACTTCTAAGTGGTCTTACAATAACTAGGCATATGATTTTGAAACATTGTATATATTTAAAAACGTTCAGGGAAATCTTATTTAACTTGAAATGAAAAAAAAAACGAGTTCAGTTAAGGAGCTATTTTTTCATTCGACAACAATTCTGCTAAATTTTAAAAAAAAGGATACGATAGATATTTATTAAAAAAAAGAATGTTAAATGTTAATATATTTTTTGGTAGGAAGTGTCAGATAAGCCACGATCGGTCAAAGCAAAGACTTTTCGGTAAATTAAATCATAAAACTAACTAACAAAAAAGATTAACTATAAAAAATATTTAATTAACATTTTTAAACGTGAAAAATACAAACCCTTATAACAAATTTAATTTATAATTGTACATTTTGGTTTTTTTAACCAAGTTAAATGGGGTTAAAGACTAATGGGAAGTTCCATTTATAGAATAATTCCATTCTTTTATTTAATTGGAATTCAGGACATATATTAATTTATTAATAAGAATATGATAGCAAGTAAATGGAGCTTATACTCGTATATATCTATTAATTATCGAAATTTCTTTAAAACTGGTTTTGTGTAAAATTATTTTTTTCGTGAACTTTTCCACACTTGTGTCCTCCTGCAATTAATTTTAATTTCAGACAAGCTTTATTACTTTTGCCATATTTCACAAAAAAACGAAAAAATAACCTTTTTATTTAATTTCATTATCAAAGAAAATGGTAACGAATCCCCTTGCTTGCTACCAACCGCACTTGTACAGCGCGCAGTAATTTATGCGTAAGCACGCGCTGTTTGGCGCTACATTGTGACGTCATATAAACAACTCTTTAAACGTCTGTACAGCGTTAATTACTGAATTAAAGATATTGGTGTTCGGATTAATTTTCTTAGTTAGACCATTTTCTATCATGCTAGATAGTTTTCAAAACAATATTCAAGAAAAAGTTGTTTTGTATTTATCAGATTTTTCAAACAAAACGGCGAAAGAAGTATAAATATGAGTTTTGACTCCGCCCACTTTCATATTTATATTTCATATTTATTTTTAAAAAATATGAAATATATTTGACTGATATAGCACCATATTTCATGTGTAAAATTAAATAAGTATACATATATATTATATTATATTATATTACGATTATCAAATTATACAATACTGTCTTAAGATATGTGTACACAATTGAAATTAAAAGAAATAATTATACGTATAAAATATTAAAATATATATTTTTTCTGCATTTCCCAGAAACTTATTATATATAACTCATAGACAGTGTTTTTTATTATGATTATTATTATTATTCTCGGTGACTTTTTTTCCGGCACTGTTATATATCATAAAAAAGTGCTGGAACAAAAAATATTACACTAAAAAAACCTGACATAAACTAACTTTTCTCATTTAAATATAATGCCGACTGTTTATTTTGTTTGGTTTTGGTTTATAAACATCAATAAAATAAAGCTCTTTTTCATTAGTACATGTATTAAAAATTTATAAAACGCAAAAGACGGCAAATTTGAGGGGTACTTTGAAAACAAAAACATCTAAATTGTACTTTTAAGGGAATTTACTTATCAAACTTTTTACAAAACCAACATTCGTTTTATTAGAAAACATACATGTATCTGGCATCGAGCATTCCCCGACAAAATCATAGTTACTTATAAATATTTTTTTATTACGGCACCACCCAAAAATTGAATGAACTGTTCACCATCAATATTCGGCCGTACACATACATGGGAAATTTTCCGCATGTTTTCCTAAACATAGAAAAACCCTACTAGAGGCCCTAGGTACCGAAATTCTATCCATTATTTTGTAGAAGCGGAATAGTCCCGTACATAAAACTAACCCATTATAATTATACAATTTATTATATATCGGACCTATTTTTCATTTACAATTGTTGAACAGACCATTTATCTAAGAGATAAATAGATGTAATTCAGGAAATAGAGCGTAGACCTAAACGCGGGTATCTATTAACCGGTACCGTACCCCCAACGCATTGCTGTATGCATGAATTTTTACGCATCAAGCCCTAAAATTAACAAGATAATAAACAAGTTTTCATCACATTGCCTACTTATTTGTAAACAGTATTGGAAACCCCGTTTGCGCATGCGCGCATGGACGGAATCCCCAGAGAAAAAGGTCACGTTTGACGACGCACAGGTGAAAATGATTTTAAAATGAGACTTTTTATATGTACTGTCGAACTGACACACTTAGATTTTTGTCTCATTTATGTATCTGCTTGATTTGAAATGAATTTTTGAAGAATGCAAGTGAAAATCAAGCGTTTAAATGAAAAATACGGGTACTGCTTCTGTACGGGAACTGCTCGCATGCCAGTAATGTTTCGATTGACGGAACATTGAAAATATTCCGTTTCAGATGTTACTTTGTTTAATGTGTTACTGCTATAATATCTTAAGTTGTGGTGTAGTTTTATGACCTGTTATTATTATTATTATTATAATTGTTGTTGTTGTTGTTGTTGTTTATTTAAATTGCAGCATACTGTCATTTGTTGTTTTTTAGCTTCATGTTTTTTAAGAAAAGGGTGGTCAGGCCCTCTTGTCAGCTTTGGTGTTGGCGAAGGCTTACCTTTTTCGTTTAGGTCAATTTTAAGAAAAACTAGTACAGCTATTCAAACTTTAAATACATGTATATTAATATACGATGACACCATTTCTAAATAGGCAGATAATCCTCAAATTAATTTTGCAAAGCTTTGTCCCTTTTTCAACTTTCAATTTTTGCCCTTGTTTATCTTTCTGTCAAGGTCCTTTTCTCAAAATTAAAAAGGTTATTTATATCAAATTTAGCGGGTTATCTTATGATTTATGTCTGTTTACTTATGCCCCTTTCCTAATATTAAAATTCTTAGTTAACCTTTTTGTCCAGGTACATATCAAACACTTTCAAAAATATTTAATTTCTACTTGGATTACTTTTTACTATCAAATTTAAAATATATATTAAAGGGCAAACAATCCTGAAATCGCTTCATTACTTCACTTTTTATTTGAAATATTTGTCTTTTCTTAAAAAGCTGTTGTAGGTTTTCACTTCAAACTTAAAAAATTTGTTGACTACTAAGTAAAGGTAATTCTGTTAAGCACTTGGCAAAATATGGCCCCTTTTTATGTTGTATTTATTAACTATCCAGCACTGAGGAAAAAAGAGCGTGCTGTCTGCTGTCAGGTCTTGCTAACTGATGCAATTGACCAGATTTGCAATTTTCTATCAAAATGCCACACGATTTAAAAGTCTACATTGCCTCTGAAATGCTTTTATTTTTTTTCTACAAAGCTTTGTAATTTTGATGTAGTTTTTATTATTCAAGACGTTACTCATTGGCAAATTACCTGAACCATTTTTATCATCTGTTGCTTTTTGGCAATAATTACTGTTATAATGATTTAGTATTTGGTATGGAAGTCAAAATACTACTTTGTTTACATTTTGCTAGTTTAATGACATATTCTTTTACATTTATAGCTACTTTATTAAGTCGACGAGCAGTTACAATCTCTTAAACAATTATAAAACTCATGTTTGCCCTTTCTAAAGAGGTAAATAATTATTTGTTTCTGGGGCATAATGTGCATTTAAGTGAAAATGAATGGCACATTTGATATACGTAACTTGATTTCCGTTTTATGCCCGCTCAAAACAGTAATGGCTGACTAAAGCTTTTGGTGGCTAAATGTTTTTAATCAACCTGCATGTATCACAAATGTATTACATCATCATCACCATCAGCACCAGCATCATCATTACAAACACCATCACTAGGCTGATGCCGTCATCATCATCATCATCATCATCATAACAAATATCATCACCATATGTAGCTATCAACAACATCCAAAATATTTTGGAAATGCTAAGTAAGACAGGGATAACAATTTCTCATTAAACTCTGTTAGTTGTTTTATCTTCATAGTACCAACAAATCAATTATATATTTTAATAAATCCACAAGATCACTTCATCTGTGTAGTATATAATAAGCTTTGGCTCAATGAAGGGAACACTAAATTATTCTAATGACAATAAGATATTATAGAATCTGCTGATCCGGTAACTTCACCGGCAATGTTAAACTCTTCACATTGTGACCAAAACCCATTTGCAATACAAAATGAAATAATACACAAGATAATTGTAGAAGAATATGCAAGGAAAGAAGGTGATCTATTCAATGTTTTACCATACGCTAATATTTACTGATATTATAACCATAATTAACCATACCATAATGTTTCTATGTTACAACAGATGCATCTTGTGGATCATTTTCAAGTCAAATTCCTCAGTAATTCTCACAAAGTCGGATAAAAAAAACACACGAAGAACACATGTGATTTCGCCATTTTTTATTTAATTTTATCCACAAAGAAAACGAAATCACTTCTAGCAACATACCGCAGAATGAAGCTCTGAATATACATGTCTTAATACAGTCATTACAGAGGAAACACGGGCCGTTCACGATGAAATAACTGACATGTTTTTACAATCGCTACATGCGTTTACAATAACAATGACTGATACAAAAATAAAACCTAATATTTCCAACGTAGTAAGTATGATTTACCAGATATGAGCAATAATAGTCAAACTTCGATTGGGCCGTGTTTCAAATGCCCTGGGAAGCATATGTTTTTGTAATATCAGTTCTTAGTGGTGATGTTATGACAATAAATTTTCTCAACCGAAGTTTAAGTAAAATTACTCACTTAAATTCAAAAAAAAATATTACATTACAGGACTAACTAAATTTTAATGAAAATTAATTGGTAAATATTGTGTTAATATGTATTATACTTGTTTTACTTCAAGTGAAATTACGTCTCGTGTAATAATTGTAAGCTTATGGAATTTCTTATAATATTAATATTTATATAGTGATTCTTTGCATATTTGATACAAAATAATGAATTATATACACATCGTTATATATTTGGCAGATACACAAGTGTTGTTTTGATACATTTGGATTATAGGAGGAGATATTCGTAAACTTTTAAAAGAAAAAAAAACAAAAACAACTATTTACATATGTTATGAATTAAAATCATTTACAGCCTAACAATATATAAAACAAAGAAAGCACAACAATAGTTCAAAATAATCTTTTTTTAAATCAAGAATGAGAGGCCTTTCTATTTAGTTTTAGAACTTCTTGAACAAAAACATGTTTTAATGACATGACTTTAGACACTAAACTCTTTTGTTGAACATATATTTTTGTGTGAATAAAATACAAAATAAATCAATCAATAAATAAATAGTACGCCATTCATCGTGTCCTCCTATTATTCGAAACAAGATTTCGTTAGTCAACAAAATTATGCACGGGGTTCTCGTTCATATTTTTTCTCATTTTTTTGTCATTCAGTCCTATTCAGTCATTAACATGTAAGCACACATAAGATTTAGACCAGCAAATATTAGTCAAAAGGGGTTAAGATGATCCCAAAAAATGAAGCGCTTGTTAGCGTCAATAATCGTTCTGATGTTTTCGCATAAGCTTCTTTCGATTTTTCTTCACCTTGTCCGATTTCTTGGCCTCATTAAGCTGAAATAAAGTTCAACAATATGAGTATAGCTTTATATTAAGTTTGTATTTAAAATATTCAAGAGACTTTGGTCATTTTAATCTGCTAAATATATATTGACTTCTAGGTAAATAAAAATGCTATTAAAGTGTTATCTTTAATTTTCGGAATGTTTTTACAATACCGACTGACCAAGCAACGAAACATCAATTTATTATTTTCAAATTTAACAAGCGGCTTTCCTTCACTTCTCTAAGATATTGTTTTGTATTATATATGTCTATGCCCGTTCATGTTTATAAAAGAATGATCTTTTCAAATTCATACAAAAGTTATTATAACTAAAATAAATGTTATCGTATGATATTTCTGATTCAAGATATAGAAAATTAATATATAATATACCCTTATCTACCGATAAACAGTTGCTAGTGTAATATCATAGTTGTTGTGAGTGTTAAAAATGTTATATAATCCTGTATTCAGTATAAGTTTAAACATTGAAATTGTCAAGAAAATTTTATAATATTAACAAAAAAATATTAACTTACCCCTCTGGTTACACGATTTGTGACATGCAAAGATTGTAAACTATACAAATTCATGCGTTTAGCGATTTATATGTTAGGTGACAAAATTAACACTTTTACAAATCCAATCATTCATCGTAAGAATGATGCTCTAGAACCAGACTTCTCCAAACGTTTAAAGCTTGATCTTCGTAAGGAAGGTACTCACACAGACTAAGGTGTTTGAAAAGGTCGATATACTGCTAAAATGCATATCAAAATATAAATATGGGTGGGTGTTTGATAAGAGGCTGGATGTGATTTTGTAAAGTAAAGAAACACTTCGTCATTTTTACGCTATGAAATATGCTTGTCACAGCACTTTTCCCCGCCTGTAGGCACTTATATTGCACCATTAAAGATAAAAGATGTACCATTCGCATTTGGTACCATAAAATATTTGTAATGTTATGTTTCCAGTTTTTAGCATTGACTTAACCAAGATATGAAGAAGTGATTTGATAGTTTAGCATATTGCTTTGTCTGCAAGCATTTAGTCGAAATATGATCATTTTTATTTCAAAATGACGAAGTGTCTGTAAGATTCGTTTGTATATATGAAGATATCATGTACATGGACCCTTTTTAATACTATTTTCCTGTGTTTTGGATTGTCCAAATTAATTATTATACCATTGTGTGTTATTGTATGACATTTGCATAACCATCATATATTTTTGAGATTATTTTTTCAAATTCAAAAAATCTTCATTTCTACCACAGATATGATAAATTAACATGCTATTACAAACAACATGCTAAAGGAGAATTAGAAAAGGAAGTTACTATTGTTTTGCTTATAGGTGTCAAAATCTGTAAAACTTTTATTGTGCAAGTTAAGAACCATATACAAACGAATCAGTGTAGATATCGGAAATAGAAGAAAGAGATATAATAGGAGTTAGGTGTGGGGATTACACCTTACATACCCCAGATTACTCAAAACCTATCAGTATTCTTCTGGTCGATAGTAGTGAGGATCATTCTTCGTCATGGCAAGTACTCGCCTCGCTCTCCTCCTAGCAGAGGACATAGGGCCTTTATAACTATCCTCAGGTACATTCGAGCTCTATCAATCATATAACAGCTGTTAAGCGCATGAAATAGACATGCTTAGCTAAGAGCCATGCGCGCGCATTTAAATGGCGGCCAAAAATGGCTATCAAAAAGTATTAGTTCAAAACAAAGTCATCGTTTTTTTTTAAATAAAAAAGAAGCTTTCAGAAGTTTTGTCTTTGCAAGGATGTTGAATATTAGCTGATACAATAGGGATGATTGGGACAAAATGATTTTATCATTATCTTATTAAACTATATAAGTCTAAATGACTTTTAAATACGTTACCTGGTAGCAAAAAATATCTATATTCTTTAAGTTCTAGCACTATATGATTACAAAAAGTTGTAGTCAAACACAAGACTAAAACCTATAATTGCAAAGAAGTACACAAAGGTTGTTAAAAAAGACAAAACTTCCTCAAAAATAAAAAAGCAAACAAAAAAAATAATTGAAATTTGCAGGTTATTTTTGTTACTGTCTATTTCATCACAAAAATGCTTACAGCAAAACTAATAAATAAATGCAACGTTTAATGGTGCACTATCCGTAATCATTTATTTCTTTAGGTTTTTTTTTCTAAATATATGGATAATTCCAAATATATATTTATCACATGACGCCGCTTGTCGTCAATGTAATATTTCTATAACGTATTTCTTTGTTCTAAACATATTTTTAACTATAACATCGGCGTTAAACGTCAAAACCACAAGTTTTTTTTAAATTAACTTCAATGCGTTAAGTCATGTGATAAAAAGAATCTCTAATTTGTTATAAAATGAACCTCTGAAGGCAAACTTTATAACAATATCTTGCACTCGTTCAACAAAATTTCATATCATATGGGAATTTATAGATATAAATATATATCCATCGAAAATAAGATTATTTTTTCAACAAACAAAATGGCATCATTATACGTTGCCTATATAGAAAATGCAACAAAGCTGCAAAGCTTTTATAACTTGCTATATTAACTTTTAAGACCATAAGGTCCAGTAAAAATTATAACAGAAACATTAACAACATTACGACAGAAAAAAAACATTAGTCAAAAGAACAATTAAATAGAAACAGTAAAAACACTATTGTAATATGCTTCTTTAGTGTTTTAGTGTTGTTTTTTTTTTTGTTTTGTTTTTTTTTTTAAATAAATTTTGTGAAAGTTTGTTAAAAGATACGTTCAATTATAATTTTTACAGATGACATTTCATACAAGACAATTTATCATAACACATAAACGATACATGTTGCTAGGCTACGACACTGACGTCATCACACATACCGAAGCAGGCTCTGAGATTGGCGCCTGGCTTTTGATGTTCATAAGAACTGTAAAAAAGACATTCATTAGCAAAACATAAGCAACACTAAAGCCACGAACTGATGCAGAATTCCTGTCCCTCTTCCTACAGTCTCAGAAAACAGCTAAAATACTCTGGTGCATAAACCATTTCCTAAACACTGTGGACCCGATAATTAAACAAATGGTGCATTTAGAAACAGAAGCTATATCTCTCAATAATAGAATACATTGCTAGTATCACATGACCAAAAATAAATTAACTCTTACTGCTCACCACTGACATCACATGAAAAACACGGGACATTTTGAGGTAGTTTTGGTGCATTATATCTAATCTCAAAACTTAAAGAAAACGTAAAAAAATCTGAGACAGAGTGATCCCTCGGAAGCATTAATCACAACAAATTCACACGAAAATTGCAGACCCGGTTTGATTGAGTCTGTACATGAGGGAATATGAAAAATTGCAACATCTCGCCTCCTGAACGGCACTCCATTTTCAACAGGCAACAATGATCAGCCTAAGGACCAGAAAATTGTAACATCACTGACAACAACCACTTTATTACAGCATGCTTTTATCACCTGCGTCACTTTTGAAGATTTTAGATCGTTTAAAATTATAAAATATCGATTCTTCAAAATATACAAAACAATATACTTTTATTTAAAAAATCATTTCGAATTAAATCTAATTTAAATATAACTTATATAAGCTCGATTATGAGTAATGCTTGCAGATTTCGAGGCCGCTTTCTGTAACTAGAAGGTATATCATTGGGGGGAAATAGTCATGCTCTGGTAGGGATGTAACTCACGACCACTGTGCAGACATTTGTAGGTACTTTGTTGAAAATAACAATGAGTTACAATTGTGTTGACTTGTGCATATGCAATTATTAATAGCAAAATGTTGACAAAGAGTTACAGAGTCAAGTATTGATAACACAGCTATAAATCATATGATATGACCTTGCTAAAAAGTACTTATTTCATTTACATTGTTGTGATAGGTTTAGGTATATTCCTTCACTGAAAAGGCGCTTTACAATACTTGTAATTATTTCTTTTTATCCAGAATGTATTAAAATGGTCGATAAACACTAACACTTTAAATCCTATTTTAAAAAATAAAGTAATGATTAAATAATAGAATAACACGCAATTTACATTTTTTCACATTTTCACACACACGATTACTAAATTCACATACAACTGGTACACTAGTTTATTATCAACGGACACTGTGTGATCACAAAAGCTCATACTTAACACAAAGTGTTCAATTGAGCTATAGAATTATGTGATGAATGTCTTAAAATATATGTAACTAATATATTTCAATACACATCTTATTAAATATTTCGAATATTTAGAGAGACATAGCTTGTTTCAAAATATTTCCATGGTTATTCATTTCCCAGTAAAGCACGGCACGTTTCCTTACAAACAAGAGAGTTGTTAAATAACAAAGACGTTAGAACGATAACTGGTAAAAAGATCGAGAACAGTTCTGAGTGGATCCCTTGAAATATTATAAAGTCGTTGCAATCGAGCAGTTACTTGTATTGATTTTTCGACAGTGGATAAATTCCATTTCTCTTAGCTAAGGGTTTTCCTTAACTTTTTATAACTATATTCATTATACATCAAAATGGATAAATCAAGAATCATTATTAACATTACACTGAAGTGATATTAAACAGAGCTGGTAATGAATCTTGTAGAATGATTCTTTCTTTGCGATGAATTATATCCAAGTCTGTATGGATACACTAACTAAATTGACCATGTAGATCTCTCAGTTTTATTCTATGTTGTTTAAAAGACTTATGTTGCTTTAGGGTTTTGCAACTGTGAATGGCTTAAATTTTAAAAGACTTGACCTAGGTATTCCATTCAGTATTTCATCTTTACTAAAATTACACAGTCTGAACAACTATGGTTGAGATTCTTAGGAAGCAGTTTGAAGCACGAAGAATAAACAAAAGCAGCCGACACAACTCTTTTTGGAAGGGTAGCAACATTGTGCGAAAAAGACACGAATCATGTACAACGTGTTATCATTTAGTCAGTAACATCCAATCTCATGCTGGGGAACATTGAATGTTTCGTACCGGTATAACGATATGTGGTGTAACTAAACTCGTTCTCCCAGGTGCGCCTTGGACGCTGCAAGCGCTTTGGAAAAAGGAATAAAAATTAACATTTGATATAGGTAATATTGAATGTATTAATATAAAGATGCGGTAAAGGGAATTTGCACATTAAAAATGATAAGCTTTTTAAGACAGAGAATCGAGTTTTATACGTTAATAAAATCACTGCATAGAATTCGTCCACACGCATTGTTTATTGCTTGTCATATAAAACCACCGTGCATATATTTCGCCTTCACACAACCGCGTTTTACAAAGGTTGGAAGCGAGGCTTTCAAAACAATAGTTCTTGTGAGTAAACAAGAACGTACAAAACTGACATTGTACAACACATACAACACCCCGGAAATATCTGTGTGCACACCTTATCGTTTTAACTATGGATCAGCATGAAAGTGCGAAATAAGCATTTGCTCTGAATGCAAATTTATTATCAACACCAAAAGCCATGCAGAACTCCCCTCACAATGGGCATTGCCACACGGGATCAACAGAAGTTACCGAGTTACGTAGTTTATACACCAACACCGAGTATATCTGTTGCATTACGTATTATACTGGTTAAGTAATTGTGTTTTATAAACTTAACTTTGTCAACCACGAGTATTATGTATCATTTAATTACTTGTAAATCATTTGTTTTCAAAGAAACGTAAAAATGTGTATTATTGATTGTTTACCAATGCTGTCTTCCACCGAGAAGCCCTTGTCAGCGACGAGATATCTGTCCATGAGTTGCTTATGGTGATCAAGCTTTTCATGCGCATCCCTTAACTGTGATCGGACGGCGTTAAGTGATCGCGGCACTATAATCAAGTCGTCCGGAGACGCATATGCGTCTAATCTATACTGTTTAAACAATAGGAATCAAATAAATCATTATTTTAAAATAGTAAAAGGTTTTAGTTAGTACATAAGGGCTTAGCCATATGTGGATATGAAATGATCTTCAAATCCTTTTTCTTCAAATTTTCTCTCTTTTTTTTGTATGAGATAGGACTATTTGGTTGTCTGAACCCTCTAAAGAATCACAAGATAGGTAGAAATCGTGAGAATACATGTTTAAACCTAAAGAAAACTTCAATGTCAAATCAATGAAAAAAGATGTTTCAAAAATATATATGAAATAAACATCATTGGTCCTTAAAAATGTTGGTCCCTGTCAAGAATTTAATCGTTTAAATGAACGATATGTTCAACGGTGCTGCTTTTCCTGCATAATAGCCATTGTTTAGTTGACCAGTTAAGTTCAAAATGTTTCGCTAAAAGCATTGGACACTACCATACTACAGTAACTAATTAGCATGACTACTCAAATAGATTAAGAAGATTTCACTTTGAGAAAAATATTTTCCATAGACTCGTAAACAAGATTGGATGCATTTTCATAATGATAGCTGAGCAGGCGAGATATTCTAAAAGAAGTAAAAAAAAATGATTTTCGTGAGCTTTACAGTAAACAGTTTATGCTCTAATATCCGGCAAATGCAGATTTCAATGAACCGAGTGTCAAAAAGACGGGCGGAGTGACTTCTTTCAACTGCTGTTTTTATTTCAATACGGGCTCTTGATGAATTATACATGGCACTTGTATGAAATGGTATAAACAAAATAGAGTGTATATTAATATTTCAATTAAATTCAAGAAACTTTATTAGTAATTATATAAAAGCAATTTAAAATTATTCTTTATCTAATCGGTAAAATTAACGCCTCTTTTTGAAAGAATCAAATACTTCTTTAAATAGGTAAATGTGTGTCTATATTTCTATATAATTTTTTTGTCAAGGAAATACTAATTTCCGGAGGCATGTTTTCATACTTATTTAATGTTTTCATACTCATTTAATGAAAAAAGGACTAAATTTATTAAGGGAATAAGACTTTACCTGCCACGACATTATATTTGGTTTTCTGACTCCCTCAACACCCCAGTAGGGTTTTCCGAAGGTAGGGTCGTACTGAAATCATTCCAGGCAACAAGTTCGTTATCACTGCATTGTAATTAATATCACATTGTTGGGGAAAATCCAACTTTATTCAAAGATTATGAAGATCAAAGGATCCGTTCTAAAAAATACTTTTTATAAAAAAAACTCGATGTTTTTTTCTGCGTTCATATATAATTTACCGAAAGTTTGCGTACCATCCGCACCTCGAGCTGCCTATAGCAACATGCAACTAAATGTACAATTGAGCAATAATTAATCTCCACAATGATAAACAAGAGAACGACAGAAACAACAAGAAAATTCTACTTTGAAAGTAACAAGTATACACATTACTTTAGAAGTATATAAAATACTTATTTTAATTATGCAGCAACAGCCATGCATTTGCAAAGCAGAACTTTGATACCACCAGCCTTTTTATTAATAAATACAAGAACAAGAAATAACAACGTTCCACATGTTAATATCGGTTGTGTGAAGGTCGCGCGAATTTGGGGCGTTCATTTATCCGCGCTCCGGTTTCATAGGGGTTCACGAATGTGCTTCGGAAATGATAACCACGGTGTCAAACATTATAATATATATTATAATTATATATTCTTAAGATAGTTTTAACATGCAAAGCATTTACACAGCAATAGGAAAATGATAACTAAGTGTTTATATTTCCTGCAACAGAACAAATTTATAGGTGAAGAAAAGTGATTCTAAAATGTAACTATGATCCATAATATTATAAATAATGAATGATGCACATGGATATATGGGGTAAAATGAAATGAATTTGGATATATTTAAATAGTCATGCACTTATTCTGAAACAAATATCTACATAATACAATATTCGAAAAGGATATATTATTGTATTATGTTCGAAAAGGATATATTATAATGAGAAAAACGTTTGTTTAATCTCTTAACATCATAATGTGATGTAAGGCCGAAGTCATCACATCACTTTCCAAACAATGAATGTGAAAAAAAGTTTGCTAAATTCATTTAATGACATGTGAATGCATTTGTAATTTGTCAACGGTTTGCTGACGACTGCGACCTTACAAAGAAGCTTAAACAGCCCACATGAAATACTTACAACTGGTGCGTGCGCTCTAAGGCCGGATGTGACCTCGGCAACAGCAACGGGTTGAGCGTCGACATCATCCTGATACAAAAACAGTATCAAGATCTTATCTTTGGACATTTCATTTAAATGATTTTAATATGATAGTATATTGTTATCCATTAAAGTCTAAGCCTTTAACTTTATTACTATTTTTTTTATCACATTATGTCTATAATTTATCAATTGTTTCTTATTATATATTTTTTGTTTTGTTTTTTCAATTTGTCATAAATGAATCAGGCCTCGACACTAACTTTTTTAGCAGGTGGTTAGCCGGACCACTAGATTTGAAATTAAGGTGGTCCTTCCAGGAGTCAGGTGGTCAATTATTATTATGTCATTTTACTGCAAAATTAGAAAAAAATATGTTTAAAATTGATGACAAAGATGTATCATTAACCTTAAGAAAACAGATATTTTAGATATATATTTTTATCTAATCAGAAATATAGGAGAGCAAGTTAGTAGGTATTTTATCATAAAGTTATTTGTTTTTTTATATGTCTTTCAAAAATACACAACAGGGCTCTTATTTATGTTTACTTTTATATTGAAGTGATTTCTCTCTCAACTCAAGTTAGGGAATAGTGAAACAATTTGTGTCTGTAATTTTCTTATTCAATTTGTTATTCATAAATTCATTGCTGATATGTGGTACGACTTTAATTATGATAATTACATGTATCTTTTATAGATTATCATTTTTAATAAAACTAATAAATTATCTTAAAACAAGGAAATAGCTACAGTAGAGGATAAAAAAAATAATACTAATGTTATATATAACTATAGTTTAGCTTATTTTTCTCACAGATGTATAATACCGAATTTTTACCTCCCTGTTGCTTGTTGGTTGATATTTATTTTTAACATGAGTATTTTTAACCTTTTAAAGTAATGTTATCTCTACAGGAAATGGATCTCTATCGTTAAACAGTTAAAATAAAGATCAGTAGCAAAGAATTACTAGATGTATTTTTCCAGTTCCTTTTGTTTGCTGCCATTATTTAAGTATATGAAATTTTAAGTTTATCTTATATCCCATACAATATCATAATTACATCGTCGGATGCCCACGGTTAATTAACATGTAATATAACATAAATGTTACTGGTTCCACCGTAGGTATCCGACGATGCATAATTATTAGCATCATTTGAATGAATATTGTACCTTAATTGATATCACAAAGTCTAAACTCTTTTAACTTGCATAAACCAAATTTTAGCGACTTAAAATGAAAGTTATTGACTAAAGAACTTCTTTAACTAATCAGATAATTAATGAACCATATACTTGACATCGGACAAATGATTTTAAAGAAAATGTTTAGAACATGTTTTTGACCAAATCACCATTCTCCCAAATGAGTCTGCACCAACCAGAAAATTCAAGTGGTCCGACGGACCAGCGGCTTTTAAAATTAGGTGGTCCTTGCAAAAATCTGGTGGTCTCGGACCAACGGACCACCGCTAATGTCGAGGCCTGAATGAATACAAAATTCCGATATAAAAGAGGCTATAAACTAAAACAACAAATAATTCGGTTGGATTTACATGAGTTTTGGAAAATTGCTTACCATTTGCTTTGATTTGCGCATTTCTCTAAGTCTAGCTTGTGCATAACTAGACCTTGGAGTACGTCTCCTTGGTAAGTCTACTTCCACTTTATTTGCTAGAAGTGCCGCCTGAACAATATAATTATGGATGAACTCTTTGTTCAAGATACCAATATTATCAAAGACAGTTTAGCGGTTTAAAGTACTTAACATCAGCATAAATCATTACCAAATAGCTTTTGAAATTATTGGTATCAACGTGAATACGCCCAGTAGTAAAGATAGAATGAAAATGCCACAAATTTGTCGAATTAAATCAACGTAAGGATGTTTTGGACCACTAGGATATAAGAACGGTATATGAAAAAAGAATTAGGATGTCAGAACAATTTATGAACAGAATTAGGATGTCAGAACAATATGAAAGTAAAGCATTATAATGTCAGTAAAGAATTAGGATGCCAGATCAATATATGAGTAAGGAACTAGGATGTAAGAACAATTAATGATGTCTGAACAACATATGAATAAAGATCTAGGATGTCTGAACAATTTATGAATAAAGTACTATGATGTTTGAACAATATATGAATAAAGTACTAGGATGTCAGAATAATATATGAATAAAGTACTAGGATGTCGGAACAATATATGAATAAAGATCTAGGATGTCAGAAAAATATATAAATAAAGAATAATGATGTCAGAACAATATATGAATAAAGTACTAGGATGTCTGAACAATTGATAAATAAAGATCTAGGATGTCAGAACAATATATGAATAAAGTACACGGATGTGAAAAAAAGATCTAGGATGTCTGAACAATATATGAATAAAGATCTAGGATGTCTGAACAATATATGAATAAAGAACTAGGATATCGGAACAATTTATAATATATGAATAAAGAACTAGGATGTCTGAACAATATACGAATAAAGATGTAGGATGTCTGTACAATATATGAATAAAGATCTAGGTTGTAGGAACAAAATATGAATAAAGATTAAATTAGGTAAGACATTCGCTAGCTTAATGCTTCAGATAAATATCAGATTGGAGTGGCTTGTAAACTATCTAATTTAACTAATTACTAGAAATAATTTATCTCAAACCAGTAAAAAAGTTGGCAGTATAATAAATGGACAAGAGATTGGAAAGCTTATTTTACATTTAAAAAGCACATGTAATGATATATATTTTTGGTCTTTAAAGAAAAAAAACATTGTGGTAGTTTTCGATTTGAAAATGAAAAATTTATTTCAGAAAAATATTTCCAAGTACATAGCTACACTTGATTTTAAGTGGCATTACGTTCATTCAAGAGTTAATGTTGAGAGTACAAATAAAAGTCAAAATAAGTTTACATATTACCATATATGTTTCCAATTTCATTATTCTGCTTTGAGGATTATAATTGAGCCGCGTCATGACAAAACCAACATAATGGGTTTGCGACCAGCATGGATCCAGACCAGCCTGCGCATCCACGCAGTCTGATCAGGATCCATGCTGTTCGCTTACAAACCCTATTACAAGTATAGAAAATGATAGCGAACAGCATGGATCCTGATCAGACTGCGCGGATGCGCAGGCTGGTCTGGATCCATGCTGGTCGCAAACCCATTACGTTGGTTTTGTCATGGCGCGGCTCATATCAATAATATAAATATCATTCAGAATAGATCGGTTACGCTCCATTAATAAGAGAATGGAAGTCTTTAATATTTTAGGCAGCTTTAATATTTAATCCAAAACATTTGGTATTATCAATTATTTGTCAATCACAATTTGAAAAGTCAATCTTTTAAAATATATATCTTATTCCACTCAACTTGAGATTGAAAAGAATGAGCATAATGCCACTTTAATTGCAACAGTTCAGTTTCAAATAGTTGTCATTTCTTATTTGTTCCGTAAGTAGCCGATGTAATTTTTTTCGTATTCATTTTTATTCACCAACTGTGCAGTTAGTTAAAATGGCAATGACAAATTTTAAATCTTTTTGATGTTGTTTTTGGGTTCTTTTCTTCTTTTTATTTTAAATGCTTTTTTCAGATAAGATTATATATATTCATAAATATCATTATACGTGTATTTATTTCAATGAGAAAAAAAATGAAGCATAATTAAAGTGATCAGTTGGTCATATAACTTATTATGATATAGGCCACACATCATAATATTGGCCACCAACATCGCTTAATTGAATACTTTTTTTACGTGTGAAATAAAACAAAAACTTATGACATTAATAAAAATTGGAATGCAACTACTGGGCGTATTAAAGAGTCATCATCTAAAACAGTAATTTGTAAAATTATTTAATATGAAAAAGATGTTTGATATTTAAGTAAATAGAAATAAGAATTATAATAAGATTCATATTACTTTTTTAAAAAAAACTGCAAGAATTACAATGTTTGATAAGGACTATAACAAATCGTTGGTTGATAACAATTATGTGAGATGATAACGAAAAAGGTCTAATTATGAACGGTTTCTAAGCATCAAAAGAATGATGATTGACTTTCGTTTTAAAGTATGTGCTAAAACAATATGTTAAACAAGGCTTAGAATCTCTTCTTTTATTTTTAAAAGTGCTACTAATAAGGTTATTTTTATAATTTAAACATATTTTTAAAAGAGATTTGTACACGTGACATAGGTAGTCCCTTTTAGTTATCATGTATCAGCATATCATACCTGCAAGATGTTATACCAATCAACAACACATTTTGGCACAGCATTAACGTCATGCATCCCAAATAACATGCAAACAGCAAGCAAATGATGGCCGCCTCAGCTAATCTACTGTGTTAAAAAGTGAAAGTGTAGTGAAATGGATAACCTTTTTCACATAATTATGTGAAATAAAGTGATTAATAAGCTGTAGCATGCCAAAGCTTGACGTCACAACATTAACTGTGTAAAAGTTCACGCCCCATGAGAAGAAAACATACAACAATGTCCAATTTATTGGTTTGATTTTAAACATGTTTCAAAAGATTTTAGCAGGGCACTTTGGAATTCAAAAGGCACGTTAATCATGAACAAGCTGAATAGCGACGAAGCTTCATACACAGAACTATACGATTGTGCTCGGCGTATTAAAGTAGCGAAAAAAGACAAGCTTTTATAGCAGACGAAATTCATTCTTTGACAAAGACGGTAGACGGCAACATAGAGCATTTTATCATGTCCATTTCACCTTCTTTCTATAAGCTGGCTGAAGTGGCACATAAGAGCGAGTTCTAGTGCGTTCACTGAGGAGCGCCAATTCGAGGTTGCGGAGGTACGCTAAAATTGAAAGCGGAGCGCGTCTAAGCCCCTCAATATCCGGTGATGGCTCCCGTGCCATCTTAACAGGGTATTTTCTGTTTCCATATGCACGAACAGGGAACCAATATCTATTACGGGGTCTAACTGTAACCCTTGGAAAGCGCGGACGACGATGTGGAAACGAGGCTGGTGGTACGTGACACCTTAACTTAGGACTAGCACGTGCAACTGCTACGTGTACCTTAGTCCTTGTAATATTAGATGCAGCTGGTGGTGATGATTGACCTCTGGCTACTCGCATTGCTGCTACGGCGCCCTTTGGAGTGGAATGGACTTCTGTATCCACCTGATATAATGTTAGAAAGTTTTGACATTGTGACAAAAGACATTGAAAATTAAGCAAATGCTTGTAATAGTGATAAAGCGTATCCATTTTTGCATTCGTAGTGCCCCCGAGCAGACCCAGTAAAAATTTAAATAAAATATCAAAATGCCATGTTTTTTTCTCATGGGTTTAATCCATCTCATAGATAATAATTTAACAAACTAGTGTTGTCATACCTTGACTTCATTAGGATAATACACATTCGCATTTAAATCGCTACTACTTACAAATCACTGGTCTATTAAAGCTTCAAGAAATTAACAGTGTATACAATCAATCGATGTTAGAAGGTGATTACATCGTGCATTTGGTGAAGGCGGCCATCTCTATTATAGTGTAGGGAAATCTTTTCGTCATTCCACTCGGGAAAATTCGGGACACCAAAGTATATAATACCTTAATTTCGACTCTTGCCAATGTACCTAATCTTTCGTATTTATCATGTTTGGAGTCGTACAGTTTGATAGCCCCCGAATGCGGAAGATCATCAGATGCCGTTAATGATCGTGTTCTTGATCCACTTGACAGGGGATATAATTCTAAGCTGTGCCCGTATTTGTATCCTGTGTCATCTGTCAGGCGTGACCGATAATGTGTTCTGATTGGTCGTGTGTACATTGATGTGTATGATGAAGATGCAATTGCTGGTAATGAAGGCGAAACGCAAGAGGAGGTTTCACGCGAAATTGCCTTGTAACCGTCCTCCAAACGTGCGCGTATACTCTCCCTGAATTTTTGTAAATCCGTCATGTATTTGGTAAAAGCGTTGTCAGAATCAGCAGCGCGTACTCTTTGATTAGCTGGTACTTTAAGCATGATAGGACGACTTATATACCTAAATCCTAACGGGGCCTCTTCAGACGGGGGCGTGTATTCACCCTCTACACTTAAAACGAGACCAGCACTCTCAAATTCATTCCAATTTATATTTTCTAAAGCTTTTCGAGCCCTTGCGGCCGACGCAGCAACTACTGCATTAAATGAAATATCATCCTGTGATGTGTTTTTGGTAGGATCACGTGTCGGCAAATAGGGTATTACTGACATTTGTGAATAGTCGCGTTCGGGACTTACAACCCTCGCCTTAGGTCTAAAAGGTACATAATCATCCGGAATGTCTGATTCAGAATCGTAATTATACGAATACGTTATTGGTTCGTAAGACATTCCCGAACCATCGTCCCCACCTGTTATAACGTAATCGTAACGGCAGCCAGAATTACCTGTAATATCCACTTCAGTATCACTTAAAATATCACCTAGACTCTCTTTATCAATATCTTCTACGTCAATATATGGCCAGTACTTTCCTTCTTTACCACTTTTCGATTTCTTAGATAGTAAACGGTCATAGTAGTTGCCAACCCTACGTTTGGAGGCAAGTACCCGCGGTGGTTTATGTCGTTTTTTAACTAGTCGTGACCTTGTTTCTAAAGGAGATATAGATGTATCTCTGTACGGAGAAATGTCGCGATAAGGGGACACTGACCTATATGATGAATCGGATCTAAATGGTGAATCCGTTCTATAAGGTGAAATATCACGTGACGGTGAAAATGAAGTTCGTACCGTATCGGAATACATTGGATCGTATGTTCCGCATTGCAAGTGTCTTATGTTATCTATTGTTTTTGAATAGTTGAGATATGCTGATGGTTTAGGTGGATCAGATGCTTTAAGATCTAAAGGAAGAATGCATGTGGTGGTAGTGTATGTTGGTCGTTTTGGTGGAACACTATGTGAGCGTGGCGGTGCTTTGGAGCGCCTGGTTGTGGATCGTCGCCTCGTATATCCCGTGGTACCCGTGCTGGACTGCAGGGGCTCATTTATTGTAGGTGTTTCCATGGGGGTACTCTGTATACACAGTAAATCAAACATCTATTGGTGAGGTTCGTGTCATATTCAAAACTCTTACATTCTAGTCATAATAATACATTATGAGCTGATAATTTCAATGATATTGCATGGCAGTCCCGAGAGATGAAATGGTATAGTGAATTTGGGTGGTAACATCTAAAATAAATTATTACTGGGTCGTGTCAGAACACTACGATAACAAAAAATGGGAAACTATTGAAAACGTTTTTAACAATCAAAACAGAATAGCTTTTGATAAAAGGATTTATATAACTGAACGTTAGCAGGAATGGTCGGTAGATAAAGGAGTTGTCTAAATATAAATACATTTCTTAAGAGAAAATATGATCAAGTTGTATGCCTCTCCAGACAATAATTAGTTCAAGGTTGTTGTGGAAAGGTATATACAATATGGTAGGAAAGTGGACGGAGGGATTTTTACCTGGATGCACTCGTGGTGTCATAAAAAAGGAGAAACAACACACAGTGAAAATATAATATATCACATAAAGAAAGAAATAAAATGCCATAGAAAGACGTAAAGGGATCAATGATGGCATAGTGTTAAGGTAATTTTATTTTGTTTTTTTTTAACTCGAAGGCCTAATGCTTACAAAAATATGAATTTGATATTCTTGGCTTTTCCTTACTACAAAAACAACATAATATATTTTCTAATAATTATAGTCATTTAAATTCGTTTCAAAGTGTTGTTTAAAATTAAATCCAACATAAAGGGTATATATAAAGTCTGATCTTTACATTTAACACATATCTTTATAGTGTTTAGATAAAAAGGTAAGTACATTATATGCAGACAAAAAAGAAAACATTTTGTACTCATTGTGGTAAATTTAATCGTTATACTATATAATGAATTAAAAATCTTTCATATACTAGAAAAGTATCAATTTTGATCTATGTAACTTTAAAGTTCTATGTAAATGATTTAAACTAAGAAGCAATATATCAAATCAAAATGGACTTAGGGCTGCTTCAACACCTTTACTTACTCTGTAAAGTATAGACTGGAAAAAGAGTTAAGAGAAATGGTATTATTCAATGGGAAATTTTGTTGATTGTTAGATTGGCAATCCGTCTAATCAGTTGTTATTTTGATAAATAAAAAAAGAAGTTGTATATAGACTTTACATTCATTTTAGAATCCAATGTCAATAACATATTTAATTATATTGCACACTATATGTGTGAGCATGTAATAAAAATACAAGGTATACACAACTTAACCACTTTTTAATGAATAATCATCAATAAATACGACCATTCAGATATAACTATGTTATGAAAAATATATCTAAAGTATATACAGTGAGAAATATATATCAGTCTATATGTGATCAGTAGGATAAACACGTTCTGTATCTTGATTAACCATGTTAGTATGTCTTTGACAAGAATAATCACAAAGATTGTCATTATTATTCATAACATTACAGTAAAAAATATCTTTTTATTGCATTAAAGTGTTGTTTTTTTTACTTTGCAAATTAATAATAAAATGCATTCCGGGTATAAAATAATTTCTGTTCTTTAAGAACAACTACGCTTCGGTTAGTATGTATCTTTTTAAAATGCATACTAGTATAATAATTGTATCGACCTGATAATATTGTCATATTTGATGTACTATTTAATTAAATCACTGAAAAAGAATACCTGGTTTGCATGTACCTTTAAAAACAAAAAATATAAACTTTTGTTCAGGACATTTTGATATTTATCATACAGCATATGTTTAATATCAATGTTACTTTTGCAATATATCGAACTGTTTTCTAAATATTCGAGTTGTACTAGGCACACAAAACAGGGCATTAGATATGGCTAAATCATATAAAACCTTTACACATTGCTTGTAATCACGGCAAATCAAACATTTCTGCTAGATGTTCAGTCTAAATAGTGGAAACTATGAACGATTAAAGTAAAATTATATACGTTATTCTAATATTATTATTCACTTGAGTTATTACACAATGATTTTAAGTTGACACGGGCAAACATATTTCTATAATGGGATTACACAATGGTTTTAAGTTGACACTGTCAAACATATTTCTATTATGGGATTGCTATATTCTTTATTTGTTCTTTCTATAATATCCATTTGTATACCAACTATTGATTCAACAAACAATGGATATTATAAAATGAACATCAGTGAGGTTGTTAGTTTAATTTCGAACTTACAATGGCTCTGTTTGCTGCAGCAAGGACGTCCCTGTCTCTCTGTCTGGACCTGTTGGAGATGTCGAAGTTGTCTTCCATCGCTGCAGACGACATGATCAGCTCACGGTTGATATCCGACGCTGTTGCATATTCGCTCCCTGAAGTGTCTAAAAATAGAATAAATTTGAATATTTAAAGAATATCATTCTATTTCCATGTACAGAAAGATGATAGTGATATGAACGCTCAAAAATCTAAGTTGAAAGAGAGTAGAATAATATTTGTATATCGTATCGTCATATGTTAGTAAATATTTGTAAAGAAAATAAAAAATTTATGTTAAAAATATGTACCATATTGCCGGATGAATGATATAACAATGTTTACAAAATATCAGATAACAGAATGCATTTACCATATGAGTAATGTGGAAGAACTGAAGGTCTGTATGGGGCATACAGGAAGTCATCATCATATGAGCGTCTAAAGGATGGAGCAAATGTGGTCGAGCGCACAGAGGACCTCGTGCTCTGAAAGAGATAGAATATTCGTATTTCTTACACATATCAGCGAATATTTTTCTGAGTAAAAAGAATGTAGAAAATGATTAACCTCAAAAATCTCAACGCTCCACTTATTGTCATAAAATGTTATTTTACAATGTTTGAAGAAATTCTAAATCAAGTAGTTTCAAATTACTTATGACATTTCGTTTAAATATTTCTTTGCTTTCTTAGGGTTATATAAATTCAAAATATATCTTTTTATAGATATTAAAAAAATATGTAAGTTACAAATACACATACAATCTAACGCAGTAACATGGTTAAACACAGTGTTTAAACTATTCTATAGTAATTAAAAAACCTTTGAAACTTTATATCCATTTACATGTACATATATATATTCATATACTTATTTTCACGTTACATAAGTTTTTGCCATTTAAATATCTGATAGTGTGGTGTAAATGTATTGTTAAAATGTCTGCTTTAGATTCTAATCCAATATTCATGCGAACACATATTTTCGAAATTGTACAGAGTTCATCCTCTTGTATATCCTAATTATGCTTATTTGTTTTCAGTAAGTTCAACTATCAATATCTTTAATGTATTTGTCATGCGTAATGTGTATATATATGTTAATTCTATCATTTTACAAGAAATATACCTTGTTTACGTAAATTAATAAAGAATTTTGAATCATAGAATTATAAAATCGATGGAATTCACCATAGGTCTTTATTACAAACATTTAGCGTCAATTTTTTTTAGTCTAAACTAAATAGACCTTCAAGCACGTTTTGTTAATCTATACTATTAATATTAAATGCGCTTTATTAAACGCATGTAAATAAAAAGTCATACATAATTTAAGACCCACACATATTCTTGAAAAGAAGTGTTTTCTTTTCAGCATTATTCGTTCCTTACTACAGGTACAAATAATTGGCTATTGACGTAATTAAGTGTTAGCAACATCACAAGTAGGTAACTTTATTGTTGCTGTAATTTTTGGAATAATGTCAAAAAACGGATTTTGCTTGAAATGTTTAGAAAATATTCTTTTTCTTGTCTTGAAATTATCCGGCCAAAGGGTGTCTAAAATCAGTTTGACTTCCTGTAAAATTTACAGGGAAGAATAGTATATAAGAAGAATTATCATTGATCATTTTAAATTATAAAACTGAAATCTGGGAATCTAATTGGCCATTATAAAATAAAATGTAAAGGATAGTTTTTGCCATTCTAAATTAAAAATTTAAGTATAGTTCTAAAATATAGTCTAACGGATAGTTCTTGCCATGTGTTCAAAACTACAACAAAATTCAGAATGACACTTAGAAACAGAATAAAAGGCACAATAAAAAACCGCATGCACCCTTATTTGGTTCTTGGGTCCGCTAAACTAGACTTAAAGTATCTTTAATAAGTTTATACGAAAAGGCTGCATTGTGAGCATTTTGATACAGTTCTTTATATTTAGAGTGACATTTGTTTCTAACATATTTTTCATTGATCATAGATACCAATTTAATTAAGATAAATTTCATATGTTTAATAATTTATGACTTTACACAAATTACTCTAACGTTTCTCTGCAGCGTTAAAATGTTGGTTTTTTTTGTTTAGTTTTTTCTAAAATAATGAAAAACTTGGTAAATTTTAGGTGACACTTGTTCAGGTGCTTAAGATTTAATTTGTTGTCATAAATTTTTAGTCTCAATTAATTCAATAAATGTATTTATTTTACATTTTGATTTTCATTTTTGCCCAGTACTTGACTTTGTACTTGATATTGAATCCCTTATATTTCATGAATTAATCAATCAATGGTTAATTGCTATATTCACAGACAGTTACTTCTTCAGATGTTACTATTTTTTATTGACCAATGTCACCAAAAAAATATAGATGGTTAGGTATGGTTGATACGGGTATAAAAAAAACATATGTTAAAACTCTTATTCACCGTATTGTAAGAACTGCAATAAATTACCGTCTTCTTATTATATGCTTACTTGGATTAGAAGTCACTGATTGTTACATAGATCACTACGTATATAATATATCTATATACATAATCTTATCTTATATTTAGATACAACACATGCCAGCAATTAGAGAAAAACTGACCTTATTGGATAAGATAATCAAAACGTTGTGTTGATTGTAATAAATGTCACCATAATCACACGTGCAAAGCACATGACAGATCAATATGTAAATATAAACATCAGGTCTCGGAGAACAAACAGGTAAACAAGTGTAACAAAGAAGCCTATTTTCAGAAAACGAGTGTTGCGAAGCAGTTCATCAAAAATGGAAAGAGTTTTCAAAATTAATTAATTTCTGCAAATGATCCCCATTGTCTTCATTGTTTCGCAGATATAAAATTCCGAATTACCTACATACCTACAAACATTCTTTTTTTATTGTACCTAACAATTTCCTACAACAGACGAGCCTTGCCAATATCTCATTTCTGCTAGAAGCATGTAATGTTTGTTTTCACCTTGGATATGTCAGGGTTTTGACTCAACGCCAAATGTTTCTCTAGCGAGGTAATGTATATAAACATATATAATGTGTGTATGTATTTCAAAAGAAAGAAGACAACTGTTATATGGTATATCCAAAACTTCTGTCTGAAACAGCCTGTCAATGTAGCAAATCTGTCTGCCGCACGAGTTATGCACCTTTTAGTTAAATATAGCTACTAACATTTTTATATAGCAAGTAAGATGAAAAAATGTAAATTTTGCTGATGACTGAGGTAAATATTATTTATGTAGATTCCTACACTCACCTGTGTGAGATGATGACTAAGATTGAAAGAGAAAGTTATGTGAGAATATCCTATCGAAAACAAATGTAGTTTACGGCAAACTACCGTTCAGCTGAGTGTGTATTCGTTATACTTATAGTCAAAGGTTGTTAGATTATTGACATAAATGATAGTAGGGCGTCACCCTGCTAGATTATAAGATATTGCATATTACTCTTGAACATATTCCTACAGACTTTTAAAATTGAATGATATGTGTATGTTAGCTAGTTCAGAATTATATGAAACGAAGCCAAAAATGCGCGCATTTTGTATGAAACCAAGTGTTTGTGTAAATTTTGGCAGTGGAATAATCTCCCTGATGAAAATAACTCGAATAAACTAGTGAACTTCTCTAGATCAAGATTTCTACAGGTATTATTATCAGGCACTGTCAAATGAGTTTAATACTAGCTAGTCAAATAACAACATCAACAAACCACAGATCTATTTAACATATGAAAATGTTATCCATGCATTTTGCTACATTATCAACCATTATCTACATAAGCTGTACACTTGAGACATTCGGAATCTTCTTCTTATAAAACTGTACATATGGAAATGCTTTTTTACATAGAAACATATGTTTTGTGCGTAAATTTTAAATATCAACATTTCATAAATAATATGCTAAAACTAGATTTACGCATTGATTTGAAATAAAAATGTAAACATGCTGAAACAATGTTAATTAACTTCTCTGTAAAGAACAATAGTGACATAATTAAAACAACATATAACTGAACAAAACTGAATAAAATAAATTTACAACAATCCTTGCGTGACTGAGCATCACTTACCGGAAGTGGTCTCGGAGCGGGCATGAAACGGGACTGGAAGCCGGGCATAAAACGGGACCTCTTTTTAACCATGGTTCCCCGCCCGAATTAAAGCTTAACCTGTGTAAGCAAAACAAACAAGAACGAACAGTTTAGACACAAAAACATATTTTGTTAGTAACCATGGTAAGTAATAACGTATGTTACAGGTAAAAAACATTATCTATACTAGTTCAGGGAATGACGTAACCAGAGGAAACTGCTTCACCGTATGACGTACTAAACACTTCAAAGACGCGATTATATCAAGTAGCTACACCATATTGCGTTAGAAATCTGGTAGTGAAACGCTGTGGTGTCATGTTAGTATATTGACTGCCAACTTGATCCCTCGTAATGTTTTGTGATCAGAATAAACTCGTCCTTCATATGACCAAGATGCGATATAAATATATTGACTTAATTATTTGTTTAATCAAATACAGAATACATTAAAACACAATATTGTGTATGATCATCAACGCAAAGTGTTATTATTCAATAGAATTCATACATTACGTTTTAAGCTTTCTAGTCTTGATCATATAAAAAAAAGAATTACGGATCGGAAGATCTTTAAGTAACTAATCTTTAAGCAATTATAATGTGAAACAATACATTTTAAATATAATTAATCTCGGTTATGTGTTTATACATGTACATTATGAAATGAATTGCTCTTTGCTCTTAATATAACATAGCATTTAATATGAACTATCAGTGAGATGTTATCCTTTTCAACATGGGTGTAAGTACAAATTGCCAGAAAACCCAAAACCCCTGAATTTAGCATTAAACCAAATGGTTTCATGTAGAAAAAGAGTGCTTTCGATCGTAACTTTATGCAAATGTCTGAAAACCGGTACATGTGTTTTTAACAATTACAACAGTAGTGATTTTATTTGGCTGATCATCAATAGTGTATAAGTTTTCTGTACTTCTACTAGTAGTGACAAAGGTCAATGATTATTTCTAACGATGTCATGTAGTTTATGTTTAAATTAAATAGGTCTTTATCCATTGCTATAGTTTAAGAGAAACAATATTATGAAAATATTGAGTTTTTAATTGACACAACGAGCTTAGTCAGTTAACAATAAGCCATAGTTGACCACTAGCTCTCTCACAATGAAATAAAAGCATTACTAAACTAAAATCAATATTTCGTCAAATATATCACTTTTATTTCTAAACTGTTAATGATTTGAAAACTGAAAGTATTTGACAACAATTTCAACATATACGTACATATCTGGTTTTATAAAAAAAAATGTCGCATTTATTAATTATATAGGAACGTATTTATAGTTTCATTTAAAGTTTTTTTTATCAAGTAAATCAATAATTTATTATGATCAATATTGTTAATAAAAGGTATACTAAGGAATTATTTAAAACTTCTTTTCCTACATTCGTACTTGCTTAAACGAAAGTATCTTAATAGACTGAAAGATCAACTCTGAATGTACTTTCCTAAAAGTTGTGTAATGCTTTTGGCTTTATCGCACTTTTGATTTGCAGATGCGGCCAGACTAGGGAAATTTATATTGTAATAATTAAATTTTAAGCAATAACAGTCACTTAATATGATTGCTTTTAATTGTTTGTAGCATTTATAGTTTTTGTACTAATCTATTTAACATAAAGTATAGTTTTCTTTATAAGATTAATTTCCGACATGGCGTTGGTCGGAGATTGTTAAGAGCAATAAATCATTTTAGATTGCTATTGCAAATTACAGCTTGTCTTAAATCATATTACACAAACGTCTGTACACAGGTGTTTATTCAAATTTTAATTTCATACCATCGTTATTTATATGTATATAATTACATTTTTCCCTTTGTTACATTATCACGGAATATACATGTATGTTAAGGAAATATCATTTCATCAATTACATGCATTTTTCTTCCATGTCATACCAAGTACATTTGTATATGTATGTTTTCCTTTTTATCCATGGCGTTGTTCTGCTTAAGACAAATAAAAAAAAATATTTTTTTTTTTTTTTTTTTTGGGGGGGGGGTTGTTGTTTTTTGTTGTTGTTGTTGTTGTTGTTGTTGTTAGCATATGTATGCGCATGATGTTAGAGAGTTGAGTATTCAGCTAAATCAATTGAAAAATGTTTAAAGAAGATTCTTGGCTTGATAATTACAAATGTTAAAATGGCTTCACCATGCAATAGTAACTAATATCAAACATATTTGTAAATATACAAATTGTAATATTTGAGTGTTTTTTGTTTTGTTTCCATTTATGACACTGATAATTCTATAGTACGTATATGTACAAATGAAAAGCTCATATTTTACTTTAAATTCCTCAAAATCAAAATGATTGTATTCGAATAATTTCGGAGTTAAGCACGTTGTGATTTTATAAAACTGCTGTACAGCAGAACGACACGGTTATCATTATAGGTGATTTTGTTAAGTTTTATGTGTTCTGTAAGGATTTTGAGGGAAAGTACAGATAATATTTAGTAATATATAATAATTGTGGAATTAAAATAGCATTTAAGCACCCTTTTAAAATCACTGACTGCTTAAATTTGTAATCAACCGATAATTAACTGTTTAATATGATGTTTTCAGACCAACAAGGGATTCCCCAGACTGTTTTATGGACTTTGAGTGCATTTAAGCATAATATTTTATCATGATTAATATTACAAGTGTATCAAATGTCCATTCTGTCGTTTTCATTTTTATTGAGAGAAAAATCGGTAGTTATAAAGTTATAATCTGTGTATAAGTACGCCTGCTACTAAAATCATAATCTAAAGAAGAGTGCAAAAAAGCTTGCTCCGCCGGACCGTCTTACTTATTCCAGTATGTTAATATCTAAGATAATTCCTCCCACGCTATTTTGTCAGTCTGTTTAAAATCATATTAATAGTTGCCATCGGTGGCTTATCTGAACTCAATCGTACATGCTAATTCTCTATCTATTCCCTCGTTATCATCACAAAGGGCCTGATTTGCTATGATACGCAATTTACATTTATATATATCATAGATAATTATCATTATACGAGATAAGTATCTCAGTGCGCGTGCAGTACAAGCACGTGCAGATTCTAATCAGCAAGTTCTATCAATCTCGGCAGATTGTAGCGCGAAAATACAGTTGGCAGCAGACGATAATTCGGAAGAGAATTACGTCTGATTTGTATTGTTCGGATATGTCTTATATTCGTCATCTATAGCGATGTTCAAAAGTATTTTGCTAAATCAGCATGTACCGACTCAATTCTACCTTCTATGTCGGATCACACAGGTAAATGATCACTTCAGAGCCAGAGAATTTTCTGACGCCTCCAATTCGCATCAACTCTACCTGGTAGAGCCAGCAAAATTATAATTACACTTATATGCGAAGCTTGTTAATTACTGAATGCATCATGCAAGCGGAATTTTATAGTCCTTGACAACAAAAATACATGTATATCCAAGGTTATTCCAGTGGCGAAAAAGTTGTTTCTATAAATACAAACTATTACTTAATTATTGCTTATCCGTACGTCATACAAGTGATTATTTGCTTTAGTTACATACACTGAACACATATATTAAGCTTTGAACAACTTCCACTCCACTCCGTTTTTTGAACTGTGATAAAGCTTAAAATCCACTCAAGTCAAGCACACAGAACTACAGTGAATTTTCATAACAAAACATCCATTTTAAAATCTACAACTATTTTCGACACGTGCAGATTTTCCAAACGAAGCACGGACAGTTAAAGGCACGTTTAAAGCTCAAATTTTACCTGTTCGAATCTGCCAGTGTGTGGGTGATAGAAATACATTTTTGCAGACTATTTATCCGCACTGCTGAAAACAATAGCAACAATGGTGTTTCTTTGTGTTTTGCTTAATTTAAAGGGTACACACAGCAAAAGAAATTGCATGTGAACAAACTACACTTGTAAACAATCAATTAATATACTAATATTTCTCATATAATATATCCATATATTATGCATTTAATTATTTAAAAACCAAGTATATTCATTGAGAAAGAGATACATATTACAAACTGTACTACTGCAGGCTTGATATCCTAGTATTCCAAATGAGTTATCGTGCAAAAACACAAAATCGTAAAGAAGAGTGTTTTTATATTATACCTTCTCAAAACAAAACAAAATACAAAAGGAATATTTCATATAAAATCATTCAAAATAAAAACTTTACTCACAGAAAATCGAAATTGCGAAACAGGAGTCGCTAATCCAGCATGAAGGTACCACTGCAGACGATACGAACCAGGTGTCAGCACAAGTCGCGTTCCAATTCACGAGAGCACGAGACTTTGTTTCATGGACGGTTTACTAAAATCCAGGGAGGGTTTTATATCCCCACAGTTTCTTGAAGCGCTAAAACACTTTCACCGGCAGACGTACGTTTATACCGTCCGAAATCGGGATAATGAAAGAATCTTTACTATGTATTACACATTAAAAATAGCTTCGAAACATTTGGAAGAATCTGATTTAATGATTCACCGGAGAAATTGGCAAAGAAACATGTTAACCTGGGACACCCCCTTGTATATAGTGGTACATTCCAAAGCAGATTCTTGGAACCTACCTGCCTAAAATGGGTATTGGCAATGAGAAGATAACAGTGTAAGGTTCTCTCTCTACCTGTAAACACAGCAGAATTCTACCTCTGTGAATATTATATCTTGACTTTGCAATACAGTTTAACGTTTGAAATAATAAGCAATTATCGTTTATGACATTGTGTTAAGTTGCATCAAAGATAAAAAAAAAACTTGTTTATTTCCTGTTAGGCGATATACAACAGGTGTATTTTTATGTTAAAAACAAGTATTACATATATATTTTGCACGTTTCTTTGCTATAACTAATAAAATTTAAAAGTGGCATTTAATTTTTATGAAACACTTATTTAAAAACTAAATTAAATAATTTCACATATCATCATTATGTGAGACATTAAAAAATCGTGTTTTGTAAAATAGAATATATTCACAAATAGCTAGTCAAGTGGTATTTATTTCGTATAATACATTTAACGTTTTATTTACATTTGATTCAATTTTGTGGAGTTTTCAACAAAAACCTCATGCCTTTAGTTTCCAATGAAATGTATGTCTAAATATTTCTCTTTTTTTGATAACTTTCATGACTATACCGAAAAAAGTGTTGTTGTTGTTGTTGTTGTTGTTGTTTTGGTTTTTTTGGGGGTTTTTTGTCAAAGTTATATAATGTGTATGGGGATAGTAATGTTTCTGATGTTTATCTTTTTGTTATTAATTTATATATAACAGCAAATACCTCTCACCCTAATTCACATCTCAGAATCATACAAAAACGAGGATTTTACATAACCGTTATTTCCATGTAGAAAAATCACGGGTAATAAAAATTCTGCAGTCATATTTCTCACAACTGTACATTTGTAAATTTTATGTAAAATAGATTTTTTTTTCTTTACCCAAGATGTTGTGTATGCAATAAATATGATTATTTGTTATTTATGTAGGGTGTTGTAGGAATGAAACTTTTAGATATTTTTTTTTCATAAAACATAATCGTTAAGCACTATTATTATCTACAGGACTGTGTTGTTGACAGGAAGATGATTTGTCTGAGAAAAAAAAATGTGTTAAAATGTGTTGTGTGTGTTTTTTGTTTTGTTGTTGTTTTTTGTTGTTGTTTTTTTTTTTAATTTATTTATTTAAATATTTATTTATTTATTTATTTATTTATTTATTTATTTATTTATTTTATTTATTTATTTATTTATTTATTTATTTTTTTATTTATTTATTTATTTTCACAGCTTGCAGCTAGCTTTCTTTTCCTCCTCGTAATTTCTTTTATGACTTTCTAGACAGTTAGAAGAATCGCGAGTTCGCGACCTGTATCTAAGCAGTGTTACAACTAAAACTTTTTAACATTACCATTTTTAACAAAATAATGTCTTTTGATATGCATTTTTTTCTTTTCAACAATGAGTATTTTATGCAACTCGCTGAATAATGAAAATGTTCGCATTAAGCTTAAACGTTAAATATTTATCGTAAAAAGTGTGATACTAAATTATTTCAGATTTAAGAGTGTTTCAGTTTCGCCAATAAAATATGCAATGTTAATTTAATTAGATGGTAAATAAGAGAAGTTATCCTATACAAGTATTGTGTTTACAACTTTTCCATATAATTAAGAAATTAATCAGTAAAGTCAGGTAATTACATACAATATATACAATAAATACATACCTACATTGTATTGTTATTGTATAAATATATTATGTGAACCGTACAGGAATATAGTTAATGAGGCCGTGTTGTTTGGCGAGATCAGTATCATTATATCCTCATTATACCTTCTTTATTATATATGTACATGTATACTGATGTAAACTTTAAAGGCCCATATTATGTCTCAGAAATGAATAAATATTTACTTCTTTAAAAAGGTCAAACATTAGTTTTATAACATTGAAACAATGGTTTATGAGCATAGTAGATGCTTGTTACCTCAATTAAATAGCGCTAAATATAAAAAAACCATGTTATAAAAGCAGCAAAATGTAAGTAAAACAGATTTTGGCTTCCATACAAAATACTTGATAATAAATAATATAAATGTACTAACTGCCAAAAAGCAACACAAGGAGTAGACAGTTTATGTAATTGGTCAATGAGTAACTTGTTGAAAAATATTTAAAAAAAGAATACCAAAAATAAAAACATATTAAAATGCTTTGTTTTAAGGAACTGGGCTAGTTGGAGCTGAAGCAACGTATTTACTATACATCTTGTAAGCACTTCTTCTTTCTCAATACATTTAGTAGAAGCTTTACCTCACATTACCAGATGTTTGTCTTTTTCAGTTATTTTACAATGTTTCAGGCCGTGTCTACACCTATTCAAGTTTCTTACATGTCACATTTAGATAAGCTAAATAAATGGCCCTTTCAACATTTTTTCAGGCACAATTTTTACTGAAATGTCTCATTAAGATAGCCCAGGATTTATACCTTTGTCTTTGCAAGACTATCATGTTTCTGTAAAATATGTGAAAAAAGCGGGAAAATGATGCAATTAGCTAAAACAGAATGGAGTAAATGAAATGCGTTCATTCTTTTTTAAAATTGAAAAAATGTGACAAAAATTTATTTTGATGCAAATTCTTTATTTGATGAAAGTTATTCACTAAATGAACAAGATCATTTTAAATCCATTTTGACTCTACTTGAAAAAGAGCTCTTTTTTATTTTTTTACAATGTATTTATTTTTATTTATTTGTTTTTTTTTTGCTCTTCTGTGTATCAGCGTATTGATTTGTTCCTTTGACCAAGACATTGTTATCATTTACTGAAATTCAAAGGGCATGTACACTGAATCAGTAACAAAAAGTCAGAAAATAATAAAAATTACAGCACTATCAAACCTTCGGGGCACATGTTTTGTGTCAAACCGGTGTTATCAGTGTCTTGACAGCCAAAAACTTGTAGAAAAATAGAACGTGTTCTAACTTTCTTGCAAGAAATTATCTTCTTGGATGTCACATAATTTCTCTTTAAAACTCATTCAAGTAGGGTGTCTACACTATCCAATACAAGAGAATATGATACTTGCATTCAAGACTTGGATATGTGTAGACGGGCTCTAAGTGTCATCCTTTGTCTACTGGCGTCATACGTATTTCATAAATCTGATAAGATTCTGCTAGTTTTCATTTCCAGATCAGAACAGTAACAGTCGTCTAAATGAACTTGCGTCAATCATTAAATCATTTAAATCATTCTCATTTTACAATTACACCGGAAGTAGCTACTACAGGAGCGTTTGGGCCATAGCAACGAAGAATTGGCATCCGTCGCAGAAGCGGTGCACAAACATGGTTTCCAGTTCATCATCCACTGTCACCTGTAGCATCATTTGTAATGATTAACTATCCCAGTGTTTAACATCAGCTGTGTCAGAATATTTCCAGGTCATGTGAACAACGTTTATGAAGGGTTTTTTTTACACTAAGATACCTAAAAATTACTAGAAGACTACCAGATTTCAAGAACCTTAAAAATATGTTATATGTAGTATTATGTACATGATAATATGTTTCCGAAAAAAAGGTTTTGGTTCATATACATGTATTTCTTATGGCTGAAATTACATTTTACCCTAATTGATCGCGGGCTTAAGAAAATACACTAGGGTAAATAGCCATCAGTTTGTAAATACATGTAGGTAAAAAAAATATTTACTCATTCGTTTCTCCGTAATATTGAAAAATTTCAACATATGAACCGCAATAAAACAATTATTAAGGAAACATCTGAATAAGTATTGAATCAAAGGTGCATTTTTCTGCCAGGTCCCCGTCATTAAATATCTTAGTTTAAGCTAAAGAAAACACTAAAAATTACAAATCTTATATTTTGCAATCTCACAACTGTTGCCCTCTTTACCAATGGTAAACATCTTAATTGTAATTTACTTTTCAATTGGTTACAAATACCCCTCTTGCATTATTTCCAGAACTAACGTGCACCTGAGGACCATAAGCTAGCTGGATATCTTCCTCAAGTGAAACAAGTAGAGATTTTGATGCTAAAGCATCAAGTCGCCGGATAGAAATATGATTGTTATCATAAAGATCATAAGAAAATATCAGTTTAACGGTTCAAGTGTAAAGAAAAGAGGAACAATATGTTGAGTAATGTTTGCCACCGAGGTTTGTAAGGCAAGTGATATGCTGGTAATTCTTCTTGTAATTCTACTTTATACACCATACATTGAAATCCGTATGGGTTACTTGTTCAGAATCCGATAATTACCGACAAATAATTACCGATCATCGAATATTTGCAAAGTGACTATGAAAATATACATGTGAAACAATGCAATTCTACTGTAAAAGTGTTGTCCATCGATATTATGCGCTATCGAAAAAATATATTTTTTTATATATAATTGCATTTCAGATAGTTTATTATATTTTTTTTCTATGTATCTAATACGATTCCGGACCCCTACCGTCATACCGTCCTTGAAACTGACGGAATATAACGAAATTATTTTGTGCTAAACTATTGAACGTTCTTGTTTGTCAAAAGTTTGACAGAAAGGGCCAAGTTTAACCCTTTACCAAGAAAAAAGGAAAAGGTTTTGAAAATCGATTTTAATGTGTAAAATATGAGTACACAGGTTTTTCTAATGATATAAAATATGAAACTGATTAATGAAAAATAACTTTGTAATTAATTATACAAATTTTCAATGATTTGCATCCGCCATACCTTTTGCCAACCATTAACAAGTTACCTGTATGTCTGCAATCTGTTACTATTAATAGATTTTATAACGATAACATACCACGTGTAGTCACGTGATTCTTACAAAAGAAAAGGGAGCATTTGTTTATAATTAGATAAAATAATGAAATATAATAGGTCTCATAAAATATAAACAGCCAAATAATTTAAAAGTGTCATTTCAAATATCATTCATGATTTATATATCATAAAATAGCAACGCTTGACTCATAGA